AAAATTGGCTGTTAGAATTGCAGTTTCTGCTCCACATAGAAAGGCTTTGGTTGTGTTTTTATTTCCATTTGCCCCTAGATTTTTTTGAGCTATGTTTCTTGGACCCTCTAGTTGTTCAGTATTGTTGTGTTTAATTTCATCATATTTGTGAATACTCTAGCTTTCTTACATTAAAATTGATTTCTGGTTTTCTACCCTTGTGATCAGATATTTGAATTAATTTCTTCAGAAAGTGTGAGACTTGTTTTTTGAACTAACACAGGATCTACTTAGAGAATGTTTCATGTGCCCTTGACAAGAATGCATTTTCTGCACCATTTGGATGGAATTTTCTATATATATTTATTAGTTCTGTTTGCTCTAAAGTGTAGTCGAACTTCAGTGATTCCTTAGGGCTTCCAAATGGGTGAACTGGTTATTGTTGAAAGGGAAATATTGAAGTTCCCTACTAATATTGGACAAATACTGTGATTCTTTTTTGTACCTTCAGTTCTGATATTATTTGCTCATAATACTTAATATATGCTGTTGGGTGCTTAATACTTAACATTGTCCTCTTGATGAATTGACTCCTTTATCATTCTGTGATGACCTTTATCATTTGTGTCAATGTTTGAGGTTTTCTATTTTGGTCTGATAGAATTTTAGTTACTCCTGCCTTCTTTGGTTTTATTTTCAAGGAATATGTTCTCCTTGTTTTTATTTTCAGGCTGTTTGTGTCCATTAAGATTTAGGGAGTCTCTTATAGGCAGCATATATTGTATTTTCTGTTTTCTGTTTTATCCCTTTAGTCACTCTATGTCCTTTGATTTGAAATCTGTTGAAGAAACTCCTACTGCTACTACTTTGTTTTCTGGCTCCTTTGTAGTTCTTCTCTCAGGTTCACTATGGGGAAAAGACTTGTAAGTGCAGCAAATGTGGAAAATCACTTAGACAAAGTGCAAGCCTCATTCAGTACCAAACAGTTCAAACTGGAGAAAGGGCTTATGAGAGCAGTGAATGCAGGACATTTTTTATCAGGAACTCTGCCCTTCATTATCATTACAAAGTTCACACAAGAGAATGTTATCATTAGAGTTCACACATAAGTAGGCTTTTTTTGAGTGTGGTGAATGTAAGTAGTCTTTTAGCTAAAAGTCTAATGTCTTTGGACACATGGGAGTTCTTTTTGGAAGAAGTTTTTGGATATGTAGAAATTGTACAGTTTCTTTGTTCAGTGTTAACAACATTGGAGGAAGCTCTGAGGCCTAATTTTTCTGAATTTAATTGCAAACATCCAAACATGAATGGAGGGGAGATTTTAAATTAACTTGTTTGTTACATGAAAAGCATGTGTGATTGTGTTAGGTTTTCTAGCCTTCCCAGGGCTCTTGCCAGATCTGTCACTGCAAAACTTTTGTGTCCAAAGCTATTTCACCTGCACCACTGAGAAACTCCTCATAGTTGTCTGCCTGCCTGCCTGCCTGCCTTCTTTCTCCTCCTCCTCCTCCTCCTCCTTCTTCTTCTTCTTCCTCTTCTTCTTCTCTCTCTCTCTCTCTCTGTCTTTCTTTCCTTTTTGTGTTCACAGTTTTCACCAGTCACTGTCCTACGGTCCTCAGGGAAGCTGACTTTGTTCTCTGATTTGCTGGAGAAAATTAGGAGCAGCCTCAGCCCTTAGGAGATCTGCATTTCCTTTACTCTGACTATTTGGGTCATGGACCTGACTCAGCATTCACCCCAGAAAACACCATCTGAGTTCAGCCAGCAGCTTCAATAAAAACTGTCTTTTCAGGGATAAAGTTTCTTCTAGATAGGTCTGGTGCATACTTCCACATCAAAGTCACACACATAAGAATGGCTAAGGCTATATATCCTTTTGGCAGACGTTTTTGTTGTTTAAGTCCTCTATAACTTTAGATGTTTTATTTACTGTGTGGTAGGTTCTAAACAGATTTGTGCTTTACAAGCATGAAGAAAGAAGGAGAAACAACTTTTTAGGGGCCTCTACTTCTGAGGGGCAGCATGGTGCTGAAATTAGCTCTCCAGTATTAGCCAAATTTGAATTGCTGTCCATTTCCTCCTAGGAAAGACTGCATAAGTCTGAAGTCCTCATGTCAATCCTGGATGCTATGAGTTTTAGGAGACTCATAGAGCACTTTCCAAAGGGGTCAGGGTTGACAACTTGAACTGCTTCTAAGAGCAGCTTGCATTTATTTTTCTCACACAGTATGCTACTACTTTTGAAGGGAATCATTCTCAGAGGTCTTGCAAGGGACCATATCTTAATGTCTACAATTCCATAGGTGTTGGTGAGTGGTAGTAGGACCATAAGGGGTATGGAAAACCACAATTATTACGGAATCATGGGACTAATGGTGGAGGAGACTGAAGCCAGCTAGATGGAATGTGCTTCTTCTAAATGTGTGTCCAGAAATGTTTCTGTGAAAAAGACTGCCGGGTCAGTGTGTTCACAAATCTGACGACCTCCAATCATGTTTATTTTGTGGAAAAAGTAATTGTTATTGAAAATATTCAACAGGTTCTGTGCATTTCTTTACCTTCTCAGATGTTTATCTGAAGATTATTGGTGTAATCCTACCTAGGAAATCAGAGTTACAGGAAGGTTGTACTGATCGTCCAGGAATATGCCTTGATTTACCCACATAACATTCCTGTTGACCTAAGTGAAAGATATTTGTTCTCACTGATAAAGATTAACCCCCGTAGGGCACGAGAACATGGATTAAATACAGTTTTCAAACTTATTTTATAAAAAGTGTTGAACATACAGATTTATTATGTTGAATCATTTTTTTAAGTTTAATTTGTGAACAACATATTTCAAGTATAGTATTTGAAGAGTCTTGACCTAGGCATTAAAGTGAAATCGTCACCACAGTCATAACACTGACCATATCTGTCACTGTGTGTTTGCTTCCTGTCTTTTATTATTTTTATCTCCTTTCCCTTCACAGCTCTCTAAGTAACCATTGTTTTACTTTGCACTTTAAATGTTTTTTTAAAATATTTTACTTATTTTTTTCGAGAGGGGGAAGAGAGGAAGAAAGACAGGGAGAGAATCATCTATTTATGAGAGATACATCAATCAGTGGACTCTTGCATGCTCCCAGTTGGGAACCTGGTCAGCAACTCAGGCATATGCCCTGACCAGGAATCAAACCGGTGACGTTTTGGTTCACAGGCCAGCACTCAATGCATGGAGCCACAGCAGCCAGGGCAGGACACTGACTTCTAAGAATGAGAGATTTAACCTGAGCAATGACTCTGCTAGAAACTTGGCTACCATGAAATTGTTGTTTCTACAAAGTGTGAGTTCATTCTATTCGTAAGAACCTGAGGAAAAAATAAATTGGTGACAGTAAGTTGTGAGCAGAGAAGCTTGGATGAATGGAAGGAAAGACATGGCATCATGTTTCATTTCTTCAACAATCATTTACTGATTATTTCATCTGCTTCAGAGGCTCTCCTAGGTCTGTGTTACATATCAGTAAATAAAGGTGTTTGCAACCGGGTTTCCTCAAAGCCTTTATTAAAGGCTAGCCAAGAAGTGAAAAAAATTTTTTTTCATATTAGAGTAAATTTAAAGGGGATAGGTGCTATTGAAATGTGAAAAGCAGCACACCAAAATGACAAGTATGTACATCCTCCATATTTTAAGAGTTCTCACTGAAAGAAGAAAGATTTGATTAGGATGCTATTCCATGAACAATAAAAATACAGTACAATTTGTCCATTTTTGCAAATTTGATGGAGTGTCAGACCAATTTATGACCACTGTGCCAGTAGAAGGTTCTGGAAATACTGTATTTCTTATTTTTTTAGAAATGACTTTTAAATATCTGTAAGTTTTTAGTTTTTTTTCCAACTCCTTCCTTATTAGTTTTAATTTTTTCAAGTTTTGGTTTATATTTTAGTGTGTTTGGTATAAATTATTAAATAAGACAGGCTCCTTAAAGTATTACTGATTTTTGATATTTATTGCACTTATATATATGCCTATATTTTTCCTTAATTCTAACATTTTATGTGCTTTTTAAGTTTCTGAGTTATACATACCTTAACTTTCAGAATGAACATGTACTTTGTTTATTCTAAATGTAATTTATAAAAAGACTATCTTATTGCATTAGGAATTCAAGAAACATCATGTCATCTCTGATCTTAAATATGTCTGGAGAGTACAAAATTTCTTTCCTTATGATAGTTACAGTATCATTTTGAAATTAAAAAAAACTCAGAATTCCATTCTCCCAGTTTTTTAAACACTTATTTTTCTTAATTGATTATTTACACCTAAGCAATTGAATTTTAAAATTTAAAGTTCGTATTTTGTACCTTAGCTCTCTCTTATTTCAAGGGTTTGTCTTAAATTCTTGGGTTATATTGGTCACATATGTGATGGTGTTCGGAGGTCATTTGTCCGGTAAAATTTCCAGACCCTGTAATGCACGACAACCTCCTTTTATTTCTCTGACGGGCTGCGTGGAGCTGTAGAGATAATGCACGTTCATCCTGTGCGCGCGACCCGTCACCAGAAACAGATGACATCTTTCTTTTACCACGTTCGAGATCTCTTTTGGACCAGGGCGTGTCATTTCCAGGTGCCTTTCGGGCCAGTCTGGGTCTTTTGTCTTGGAATCAGGTGGAAAACCCTTTTCCCCTCCGCGGACTCGAGGAATCACATTGCCTAGAAGGCTGCGGGGGGGGCGGGGCCAATAAGGCCCAGAAAAGCGGGGCCGAACGCGTGGGCGGGACTTCCGTCGCCCTGCGGACGGCGTATTGTCTACTCTCGAGCTGGACTCGCCTCACCCGTCAGAGGCGGCTCAGCACTGGGCCCCCGAAGGGATGCTTCTGACCAGAAACCGGACAGACGTGGCTGCCGCCTCTCGCGATTGCGAGGCTCCGTAACCCCGCCCAGTGACCTGCGCCCGGTCCGGGATGGGGACCGGGGCGCTCGGCGCCGCTGCCTCATTCCGCCCGCAGAGGCCGATGGCGGCGGCCGCGCGGAGGCGCCGGGGTAAGGTGAGTGCGCGGCCCGGGGCCCTCCGGCCGCAACCCCTGGTGTGGGGCGCCTGTCAGGCCCTGCTGCTCACGCCCCGGCGTGTGGGATCGTGAGGCGCTCGTGGGGATAGAGTTGTGACGGCGGCGTGGGAGAGGGCGACGGGCAGGTACTGCCGAAGGAGAAGGAGCCGGGACGCCGGCGTGCGCCTTCCACCTGCTTTAAAGTCTGAGGCGGAGTCACGACCTGACTGCAGCGAAGTTCTGAGAGTCCTAGGAGACTGGGACGGTCGTGAACCGAGGGACATACAGGCTGTGCCACGGTGTTCGAAGCCTTTAGGATTCCGCTGAGATAGAAAACCTATTGGAATTGAGTGATGAGGACACTGAAGCACAGGAGGAGGAGCGCGTGTGCAGGTCGCGGAGCTGGTAACAGGGTGCACTGAGGTCAGACACTTAGCCGAAGGTCACCAGACTCCAGGGCGGGACCCGGATAAGGCTGACCCTGCTTCCCGGCGTGAAGAGTGGTTGACTGCGTCTTCCCACAGGTTCTGAGGTTGAAAAGCATTATGAAAATAAACGAAGGACAGGGTGTCCCAGTCCTCCCTGGTGGTGACACTGCCATACGGTGTCTAAGGACTCTTGGTAATTTCCCAGCTCTCACATGAGGGGACCCTGGGGACAGCCCAATCCTCAGTGCAGATCACAGGTAATGTCAAGGTGCTCCCGTTTCCAGTGTCAATGTAAGAAACATTCAGACTTCTACTTTTTAAAATGTTTCTGTGAGCCAAACTGAGTACAATTGCCAAGAGACAAAATCACAGTGGAGCGAGAACATGCTTCGGAAAATGGCAGTTTTAGCACTTATTTTGTACATCAGAATCAAAAGGGAAGACATAAGTTGGCAACTTGACATCCATTGGTGATAGGTCTGGGAGGAAGGAGAAAACAAAGAAGAAAACTCTGATATTAGATAAAAAGTAAAATTGAATAGGCACACATTTCTTTTACATTGACGGTTATAGGGTAGTTAACTAACACAATAAGAAGAACAATGCAGGATATTTGGTCTCTCTGATGGTGGAGAGACAACAGGAAAAATGAACTTATCATGACATCCCAAAGGTTTTTTAACATAGGTGCAAAAATAAAAATGTGGGCTCCGTTAAAGTAAAAATTGACCTTCCTTAGGGAAGATTGAGGCCTAGGACATGACTCCTTGCCATGACTTGTTTTTAGTTAGAAAGTTTTAATTTCATACCATCTATATAGGTATTTTCGGTCGCTCAGTTTGTAAGGCCATCATGGAGGACTCCCTTATGCTGCTCAGGTTTAGCATGTGGCCACCCATTTTTTTTTTTTGGTCTACACTGGCAGCCAGTGTAAGCAGTTATGAAACGTTATTTAGGGAGAGACAGGTGCACATGCAAATGCTTGGAGATGACACAGAGCTGGGAACAGGAATAGGTGCCTCAAAGAGAGATCTGAGTGGGGGGCTCACAAATCAGACCTGTGAAAAAGCTAAATAATAATTTGGGAAACTATTATGGAGATAATGGAGTATTTGCATAAGAGAAATGTGTTGGTCTCTCCTGGATTTGACAGGCTCCATCTGGCTGCATAATGGAAAAAATGGTTATGGGAGTTAAGGGAGCAGACAGGAAGCCCTGGACCAGGACAGTTCAATGATACGAGGGAGAGCTGATGGACCAGAGCTGGGCCAAAGAGGTAGAAGAAAAGTTTGGGTTGTTGGTCCATTTTTTTAATTCTGTTTTTTTCCATTACAAATTATCTTGTTTATACCCTCTTACACCTCCACTCGCCACCTTATTCCCTCCATTTTTCAAGAAGGGCATGTAGTTTCAGATTTTGCAGCTGCAGGAGAGAAAGGAAAGTGTTCAAAATGACCCTAATGTTTTTTGATCATAGCAGCTAAAGTGGTGCCCGTTCCATCAACTGGGCTAAGGAAATGGTGTAGGTTAATTTTCGTAGGGAATAACACAATGTTCTTTTGGTTAATATTTTTAAATGTTTCAAAGAGCAGTGCGTGGAAACATCCAGTGAGCAGCTGAACACATTAGTCTGGAAACCTGGGTAAGGAGATGTAATCATGTAGAACTTGTGGCTCTTTTGTGTATGAGGGCGTAAGTGGCAGAACTGAGGGAGACAACCTGGGGTATGAAGATGTGAAGCAGATAGAGATCACACCGTGGTATGCACAACTAGAGGAAGTGTGAGCTGATGGTCATGGATGGATACTTGGTGCTGTGAAGCAGAAGTCTGTTTGGCTGTGTCTTGGGGGCATGATCTGGGAGACTCAGTGGAATTTCTTAGCTGGAAGGAAGGGGCCCTGAAGGCATGGCCCCAGCTCAGATAGCATTTATTTGCCTTACTTGCTCTCTCCTACCCACCTGCGCTGAGTGAGCGATTCATGGGGTTGTGATGACAGAGCAGGCAGTTCTCTTACCAAGGGCTGGTGTCCTCTCCAAACTGAGGGCCCTGGGAAGGGTTGGGCATGGGGAAAAGTAGGCATACAGTCTCTCAGACAGACTGTTCTGGATTCATTTGTATTAATTCTGACAGATTGTTGTGACCTTTGAGGATGTCGCCGTGCATTTCTCCAGGACAGAATGGTGCCTCCTTGGTGAAGCTCAGAGACGCCTGTACCTCGATGTGATGCTGGAGAACTTTGCTCTTATATCTTCACTGGGTAAGACATTGACTCTCATGTGCAGGTTTATTTTTTTTTTTGGCATGCCTGTGCCCCCATTTCCTCAGGTTTGCACTCTTCTTCTTTCCTAAGCTCTAAGGATCCTGACCAGACTTGCACCCAGGATGCAATGGACAGCAGCAGCTGGTCTTGGGGTCACCCTGATCCTGTCTCCTGGACTCCTTCTTTTTGCCACATTGACCCCAATTTTTTTTTTAAAGATTTTATTTATTTACTTTTAGAGAAAGGGGAAGGGAAGAAGAGAAACAGCAATATATGAGAGATACCAACTGGGGACCTGGCTCAAAACCCTGGCACGTGCCCTGACCAGGAATCGAACTGGCAACCTTTCAGGATGCAGGCTCCACTCAATCCGTTCAGCCACACCAGCCACGGTGCTCCACACTTTTGAACTAACTCACACTTTCATGAAAAAACAACACACCCTCACATTCATTGCTGATCTGTTCTAGGCTTTGCATTTCCCATGGCCTTCATTCCTTATGGGTTGCTCTGTCCTCAGATGTGGACTGTGCATACACTGTTTGCTTTTTACATTTTCTGGGTAGTCCTTGTACTTGGCAGAGCTGATTTGTTCCCATTGCCACCTTCTTTCCCTGCAGCCCTAAAAGCTGCTGTAGACAACCTTCATAGGGAAGGATTTGAGGTCAGTGATGTTGCCAGAAGCCTAATAGGTTTCACATTGATTAGTGAGGAAAAGCCTTTTATTTATTTGTTTGTTTGTTTGTTTAGAGAGAAGGTAAGGTAGGTAACGAGAGAGAGGGAGAGAAACATGATGTGTGAGAGAATAAGTGACCAGTTGCCTCTGTCACACCCCTAACTGGGGACCTGCCCCACAACCAAGGCATGTGCCCTGACTGAGAATCAAACTGGTGACCTTTTGGTTTGCAGGCTGGCGCTCAGTCTACTGAGCCACACCAGCCAAAGCAGGAAAAGCATTTATTATAGTCTTGATTCCAATTTATACATACATATATATATTTTTAATCTTCACCTGAGGATATGTTTATTGACTTTTAGAGTGCAAGGGATTGAGAAAGAGAGAAACATCAATATGGGAGAGAAACATTGACTGGTTGCCTCCCATAGGTGCCCTGACGGGAATCGAGCCCACAACCTTTACAACGGACAACTCTCCAACTAACCGAGCCACTGGTTCTAAAGGTGTTTGATGTTGTCTATTTTGTCTGAGAATTTTAGCTACTCCTGCTCTCTTTGGTTTTATCTGGGTGGAATATTTTTTACATCTGTTTATTTTCAACATAGTTGTGTCCATAAACTTTTTTATAAGATATTTTATTTATTTTTAGAGAGAGGGCAAGGGAAAGAGAACAGAGGGAAAGAACATAGATGTGGGAGGGAAACATCGATCAGTTGCCTCTTAAGTGCCCCCAGTGGGGACCTGGCTCACAACCCAGGCATGTGCCTGGACTGGGATTTGGTGCTCAATGTGCTGATCCACACCAGCCAGGATGAGTAGTTTTATCTTCATGTGGATACAAGAACACTTGTTAGTAATGTGCTGTGTTTTGTACTGAAGACAAGTTTCAATTAACCATTCTTCTTGCTGCTCCATGAGCTGCGGTCAGAGTACTGAAGGATGTAGGGTCCTCAGTGACCAGGACAGTGGTTTCCCAAATATTTAGAGGTCTGTTTTAGAGTCTTTGTTGACACAGATTGCTGGGGATAAACTAATGTTATTCCTTCATAAAAGATGTTGTGGCCAAGGGGATTCCTCTTGATATCCATGCTGACAATCTCTATAGGTTTCCTTGAGTTGAAATATGAGGGCAGTTTGCAGATAGTACAGAGAATCCTGAAGTTCTCAGTGAAAACAGTTGCCATGATCATTCACATACCGGGCCGCTGGAGTCCACAGTGACACATGTGCAGTGGCTTGGAGTGGAAGCTCTTACTCTTGTCTTTTGAATATAACCATCTTTACTAATACAGTTTCTTATGTAATTCTTTCTGTGAGTTTTTTATACTCTACTCACTGCACTTTGGAAAAACTGTTATCCTAAGCATTTCCCCCTTTCTTCAAGGATGCTGGATGCTTTTAACACAAAATTGTCTGATTATTTTTGAAGGGGATGGAGTATTTGTATTTTGTATTCTGCTAATTTTAATTGTGACTCACATAGATTGTTTTGCTTTGGTCTGTTTGCTGAGTTGTTCTATGACAGTGCTGGTTATTCATCTCTTTGCCTTTCTCTTTGGAGTTGCATCATCAGTATTCCATGTGATTACTCCATTGGGAGGGAAGGGGAAGAGTCCTTTGTGCACCACAGAAGGGATATGAGTCCAGTCATCACAGGCTGGGCTCAGAGGGTCTCTGGCATTGGTGCGTGACACTTAGGGAGTGTTTGATGCCAGGGGTTTGTCAAAACAAAATGAGGAACCTGTTATGTTTAACTGCATTTTGTTACCATTATTAATGTCCACACCTTAATCTACATGCCCTTTTTTGTGTGTTTTGGCACTTTGCCTATTTGATAGTTTTAGTAGATACCATTTCTACTCTAACTTCCAGCCATAGCTAATCCCTGCCTCTCTTAACCTCTACACCACAGGCATTTCTCTAAGGAGTCTTTTTGGTCTGCTCTCCAATTTTGGTCAATGCCTGTTGAGCCCTGAAGTGTGCATGAATTTCTTTATGGGTTTTTTTGTTAAAGATTTTGTGTATTTATTTTTCAGAGAGAGTGGAAGGGAGGGAGAAAGTGAGGGAGAGAAATGTTGATGTGTGTGAGATACATCAGTTGGTTACCTCTCACACAGCCGCAACTGGGGACCTGGCCCACAACCCAGAAATGTGCCCTCACTAGGAATTGATTTGGTAACCTTTTGGTTCGCAGCCCAGCACTCAGTCCACTGAGCAACACCAGCCAGGACTGACATATGCACAAATTTCTAGGGGAGGATTGCACAGCATCTGCTCTGTGGATATTGACTCTTGGTTTTGGGCATATTTACATTCCTTTACACAGCCTTTTGTCAGGAGCAAAAAGGATTTTGCTGACAGTCATAACCTTGTAAACCCTGCCTCTTCTTTTGACCCATACTATCCCAGTGTCCTTTGTATAATGAGGTGCCCATTAATTACTCTCCTAAGTGGCCTAGTAATGCACAGTCATCACTTTTTCAGAGCCTATCTCAGTTGTCATGAAAATCATGCCATAGAATCATGCCTTGATGCGACAGATGAAAATTTGTGGTGAGAAATGCCCCTCCCTATAGGTCACTAAGTACTTCACCAGCATTTTTTTATGTTCAGGCTGCTGCTGTGGAGCAGAGGATGTGGAGGCACCCACTGAACAGACTGTTTCTGTACGAGTCTCGAAGGTGAAGAATCCCAAGGCAGCTTTGTCTTCCCAGAAGAGCCACCCCTGTGAGAGTTGTGGAACAGTCTTGAGAGACCTTTTCCTCTTGGTTGACCAGAAGGGAACACAACACAGCTTGACACTGCTGAGGTGTGGGGCATGTGCAAAACCATTTTATTTCAGTGCACAGAGTCACCAGCACCAGGAACAGGACACAACAAAGGATTATTTCATAAGCAGTGTGGACAGGGTCTCACTTGGAAAGAGCTGCAATTTCCAAGTGTCGTGGAAGCCTTGTACTTCTAGTCAAGTTGAAAAAGACTTTATCATCAGCTCACGACATCGCAAGCAACTGGCTACTCACACCATGCACAGGGAAAACAAAATCTCTAAGTCTGGAATGACTTTTCCAAGTACAGAAGATTGTTACACTGCAAGAGAATGCCAGAAAACCACTGGCTGTGACCAGAGAGTTGTTGAGGACCAGGGTTTCCTTACAGGAAGACAGTGTTTTCTATGTTGTGAATGTGGAAAATCTTTTACTAATAGCTCTGCACTCCATGATCATCATAGAGTTCACACTGGGAAAAAGTCTTATGGGTGTGATGAATGTGGAAAATCTTTCAAGAGAAAATATGACTTCAAATGTCATCAGCGAGTTCACACTGGAGAAAGGCCTTATAATTGCATTGAATGTGGGAAATTTTTTACCAGTAGCTCTGCCCTTTGTTATCATCAGCGAGTTCACACTGGAGAAAGGCCTTATGAGTGCAGTGAATGTGGGAAATCTTTTACCAGTAACTCTGCCCTCCGTTACCATCAGCGAGTTCACACTGGAGAAAGGCCTCATGAGTGTGGTGAATGTGGGAAACATTTTACCAGTAGTTCTGCCCTCCGTTACCATCAGCGAGTTCACACTGGAGAAAGGCCTTATCAGTGCAGTGAATGTGGGAAATCTTTTACCAGTAGAGCTTCCCTCCATGATCATCAGAGAGTTCACACTGGAGAAAAGCCTTATGAGTGTGGCGAATGTGGGAAAACTTTTAGGAGGATATATTACTTTAATTGTCATCGGAGAGTTCACACTGGTGAAAGGCCTTATGAGTGCAGAGAATGTGGGAAATCTTTTACCAGGAGCTCTGTCCTCCATAATCACCAGAGAGTTCACACTGGAGAAAAGCCTTATGAGTGTGGTGAATGCGGAAAATCTTTTAAAAGGAAATATTACTTTAATTGTCATCAGAGAGTTCACACTGGAGAAAAGCCTTATGAGTGCAGTGAATGTGGGAAGTCTTTTAAGAGGAAAGAAAACTTTAATTCTCACCAGAAACTTCACACTGGCGAAAGACCTTTTCAGTGTAGTGAATGTGGGAAATCTTTTACCATGAGCTCTGCCCTTCTTAAGCATCACAGAGTTCACACTGGTGAAAGGCCTTATGAGTGCAGTGAGTGTGGTAAATGTTTTACCTATAGCTCTGACCTTCGGTGTCATCTGAGAGTTCACACTGGAGAAAGGCCATATGAGTGTGGTGAATGTGGGAAGTCTTTTACCAGCAGCTCTGTTCTTCGTATTCATCAGAGAGTTCACACTGGAGAAAGACCTTATGAGTGCAGTGAATGTGGGAAATGCTTTAGACAAAGATCTGCCCTTATTCAACACTATAGAGTTCATTCTGGAGAAAAGCGGTATGAGTGCAGTTAATGTGGAAAAACTTATATGAGTAGCTCTGTTTTGTCATTGTTGAAGTGTTCACACTGGATAAAGGCTTTCTGAGTGCACTGTAGTAGGGAAATCTTTTACCAGTAGCTTTGTTCTCTGTTATTATTAGGTCACAAAGGAGATAGTCTTTATGAGTGCATGAATGTAGGATATCCTTAGGTGTAGCAGTCACCTTTGTTAGCATCAAATAGTTCACAGAAAAATAAGGCCTTATGAGTACAGTGAATATGGACATTTTTTTTTCTATGCTTTCTTCCTGTCATCAGAGAGGTTACACAGGATATAGGCCTTAAGGGAAGATCAAATTTAAGAAATCTTTTATCTTGGAGTCGTGATCACCATAATCGCAGTCACTGCTTAAAGGTTTCAAGTGTGATGTGAGCATGGGAAATCTCTAGCCATAAGTCTATATCTTTTGCCATGAGAGAGTCCTCGCTGTGTAGATGGTTATGTTTTGAGAAATGCATTTTTTTTTCCCGTGCAATGACATTAACGAAAACTTTCTGAGGAAACCTCTATTTAATTTAATATGTTCACGGTGTGGATATGTCTCAGAAGTTTAATGTTTAAATTTTGAGGAATCTATCAAAGTGCATCTAAACTAACTGTGCCTTTATGCATTCTTACTGGTAGTGTATGTGTTGCGTTCCCCCACTCTAACGAAATCTTGATTTTTTTATTTTCTAAATAATTATAAATTTTGGCTCTTTTCATATGTTCACCATGCTCTCTCTGTTGTTTTAGTTGCATTTCCCTAAGGCTTTATGGTGAGCATTTTTACTGGTGTGTATATGCTACTGATATGTTTTTACTAATATGTGTGCTCACGTAATTTACCTATTTTTTTTTATCAATTTTGGCTGCTCTCCCTTATCAAATAGAAGAGTAAAACAGCAAAGAAAGCCCTGGCTGATGTGGCTGAGTGGATTGAGCACCGACTTGCACACCGAAAGGTCCCCAGTTCAATTCCCTGTTAGGGCACATGCCTGGGCTGTGGGCCAGGTACCCAGTTGGGGGCGAGCAAGAGGCAACCAGTCGATGTTTTGCTCACACATCAATGTTTCTCTCCCTCTCTTTCTCCCTCCCTTTTCCTCTCTCTGAAAATAAATAAAATCTTTAGAAAAAGAACAGTAAAGACATATGTTGCAATATCACCTATTTTCACTCCTTGAATAAGTAATTTTCACTTCATGGAAATTTTTTTTTGGAATAATTGTTTTTAATAGTGGAAAATATTTCCAAATTATTCGGATTTTTTATTGTATACAATGTACTAGGTATATAGCATATATTTTAAGGAATAATTTGCATTATTTATACACTTCATCACTTTTGTATGTTCAAACATTTGGTAATGTAATAAAAAACCTTGCTTTTTAGTGTTCACCCATTTTTATGGTCTATCATATGGGATTTACTGGGCTGGAGCAGGACTTGAAGGTGAAACAGGTGGTATGAGGATGAACAAGTATTTCTTGAGCTCAGGGCCCTCCCAGAAGACCAAAGGAAGAGTTCACTGATTAGACTCCCCGTATCTTGGGCCATGCAATCTGGGTTTAAAGCTTGAATTATTGACCATCGTTATGATCACAGGAAAGTGATGCGGTCTATGGGCCTCAGTTTCCTCCTGTGTGAAGTAGGAGTAAGGGGAAGCCTTGATCCTGGCTTTGGTGCTTATTCAAAAAGTAGTGGGTATACCATTAGTTGCCGCCTGAAGTGAAGATAGCATCCACTGGCCATACACCCCTGTGACCTGCTCCAAGTGCTTGTGAAAAATAAACGGAGGTCCTCAGATACCCCATATGTGCTCTCGTCCACATAGACTGCACCTGGTGGAGGAGGTCCTTTCAGGGCTCCTATGCCTCAGTATGGGTTCTGCACTTGGGGATCTTTGGGTGACAGTAAAACTCCCCAAAACTCAGTGATATATTAATTATGGCACTAACCATGGCCCTTGTGAGGATCAGTAGAGGTATTCCAATCGTATAAGAATATGACATGTACCTGTGAATACTGGTTATGTACCAACTTTATATTCGCTGACAGAATGGGTGCGATGTTGGCATCCATGACTGTATGGAGAGTGGGCACCTAGACCTGAAGTTAAGGTTTTGAACTTGAGTTTCACCACCTATCCTGGACACAATGAGGATTTCAGCTGTAAATGCCTTGACAGTGTCTGCATGCAGACTGCAGAAGATTTCCGGGAGAGATTTACATCAAACCACGGGAAGGTATTCCTGTTGATCAATGAAGTTCTCCCATGGGAATTACTTAAAACAGCTAGAAGAGAAAAGGCTCTGTTAAGCCTGAGAACAGGTAAGGCACAATGGGTGGTAAATAAAGGACACTGACTTCTAAGAACGAGAGGTTTAACCTGAGCAATGACTGTGCTGGAAACACGGCTACCATGAAACTGTTGTTTCGACAAAGTGTGAGTCCATTTCATTCATAAGAACCGGAGGAAAAAGCAAGTGACAAAGATGGTTGTGAACAGGAAAATTTAGAAGAGCATGAGGAAAGACGTGACATCAAGTTTCACTTCTTGGACAATCATTTACTAATTATTGTATCTGTTTCAGAGGCTCTTCTAGGTCTGTGTTACATATCAGTGAGTAAACAGAGGTGTTTACAGCCTGGTTTCCTTTGTTGAAGGCTAGCCAAGATGTCAAAGAGAAAATATTTTGCATTACAGTAAATTTTAAAGGGATAGCTGGTGTTGAAATGTGAAAAAAGCAGCACACCAAAATGACAATTATGTGGATACTCAGGATTTTAAGAGCTCTCATGGAACAAGGGGAGAAGGATTTGATTAGATCAGGTTGGTGTTTCATGGACAAGAAAAATGCTATACAATTGTCCCATGCTGGTAATTTGGATATAGTGTCAGACGATTTCTCTGACGAGTGGCGTCCAGGTAGCAGGGTGCTGGAAATGCTGTATTTCTTATTTTTTAGAAGTGATTTTTAAATAGTATCTGGTAGGATTTTAGATTTTTTTTAAATCTTCTCCTATGCTACTTAGTTTTAACCTTTTTCAAGTTTTGCTTTCTATTTTACCATGATATTTGCCCTAAAGTTTTAAATACCACAGGCTTCCTATAGATTTACTGATTTTCTACATTTATTGCATATATGCACCCCCACATTTTTGTTAATTCCAATATTGTGTGCACTTTTCTAGTTTGTGAGGTATACATAGGTTAACTTTCAGTATGAAGATGTTCTATATTTAATCTCAATATAATTTACATATTGGAATATTATGTGGCCTCTGATCTTAACTACATCTGGGGAGTCCAAAATTTCTTTTGTTAGAGTAGTCACAATATCATTTTGAGGTAAGAAAAACACCAATAACATTGTCAGAATTCAATTCTCCCGTTTTTTTCAAAAATTTATTCATAATGTATGATTTATTTGTAAGTAAACAGCTGACTCCTATTACTTTATTTTCTAAGAGAGTTTATTTATTTTTAGAGAGGGGAAGGGAGGGAGAAAAAAGGGGGAGGCATCTATGCAGTTAACGCATATTCATCGTCATGCACACAAGACCATCCCCAGAAATATGCCATCTTTCTTTTATCATATTGAAGAGCTCTTTTACCAGGACGCGCCTTTTCCCAGGGCGGTTCCCGGTGACTCCGGGTCCTCGGAATCAGAACGAAAACCCTTTTCACCTCCGTGGACCCTAGGAACCACATTACCCAGAAGGCTGTGGGAGGGCCGGGCCAATGAAGGCTGAGAAAAGGCTTTTCCGTTGGGCAAAACGCGCAGGGGCGGGACTTCCGTCGCCCAGCTGGCGGGCATTTTTGTCTACAGTCGGGACTGCAGCGGTCGGAGTCGCTGAGCGCTGGGCCTCCCTGGGCGGCGTTGCGGTGACGAGAAGTCGGAGAGACCCGGTCGCCGCGTCACAGACGCGATTGTGAGGCTCCGGGTCGGGGATGGGGCCCGGAGTGCCCGGCGCCCCGCTCCGCCCACGGAGCGCGGGGGCGGCTGTCCCGAGGCGCCCGGCTGAGGTGAGTGCGCGGCCCCGGGCCTCCTCGGCTCAGCCCGCTGCGCCCTGAGGTGCGGGGGCGGGGGGCCCGTGACGTCCCGCAGCCCCGGCGCCGGCTTTCGGGCCGTGAGGCGCTCGTGGGTGACACACGATCCAGTGGGGGTGGGAGAGGGTGACGGGCTGAGGGCCCGCTGGGTACCGATGGCCGATGGTGCTGACCCTGCAGGACCCGCAAGCTGGGGGCGGCCTTCCACGTGCTTTAAACTCTCTGAAGTGGAGTCACGTCCTGAGTGCGAGGCAGAGGGGCTGAAAGCCTTTCAGATGCTACTGAGATAGAAAACCGCCTGGAGCGGGGCGATGGGGGCAGGGAGGCCCAGGAAAAGGAGCGGTTGTTCAAAGTCGCAGGGCCGGTGCGAGGCTGCAGTAAGGAGACACTTGTCCGGAGGTGACCAGGGTCCAAGGGCTGCGCTGAGATACAGCTGAGACCTGCTTGCCAGGAGCTCTAGTGTGATTGATGGCGTCTTCCCACAGGTTCTGAAGTTGAACACCATTTTGTCAACTGGACAAGGAAGGAAAGGGTGTCGCAGTCCCTCCCTGGTGGTGACACTGCCTTATGGTGTCTAAAGACTCTTCTGGTTCCCCCCGCCCCGCCCCCCGCTCTTCGATGTGGGGACCCTGGGGCTGCCGCAGTCCTGAGTGCAGGTCACAGGTAATAGCAAGGTTCCCCCCTTTCTGATGTTAAAGGAAGAAACATTCAAACCTGTTGAGACATCTTTAACGTTATTTGAACCAAACTGATGACAATTGACTGAAAACAAAAAGTCAACTGGGTGACAGGATGCTTCGGAAGATGAGAGTTCTCCCACTGGTTTTCTACATCAGAATCAAAAGACAACACGTGAGTGGGAAACTTGAAATCCATTGGTGATAGGTTTCAGAGTCAGGTGAAAATAAAGAAGGAAAATGCTGATATTAGATAAAAAGTACACATGATGAGACACTTTTATTACACTGGTGGGTATAGGATAGTTAATATTTCATTAACAAAATAATAAGAACAATGGGGATGCTTTTGGTCTGTGCTGTGATGCAGTTATTGTGCCCTGAGAGGGCACAAAAAATCACCCTGATATTCCAAAAGTATGTTAACATCAGTGCAAAGATACAACGATGGACTCATTTAAGGTAAAAACTGACCTTCCTCAGAAAGATTATAGACCTAGGACATGACTCCTTGTCATGACTCGCTTTTAGTTAAAAAGTTTTAATTTCAGGCCATATGTAGGGGCAAGTGTGGTCAATGTGGGAAAATTTTTCTGTGTTACATTAAGTGTCATGTTATCAGAGACTACACACAGGAGCAAAGTTTTATGTCTGCAGGGAATGTGGGAAATGTTTTATCAGTAACATTTGTTTCCTCTGGAGACTTCACATTGGAGAAAGACCTTACGAATATAGTGAAAGTGGGAAGTCCTTTTGCAGGAACAGTCCTCTCTGTTGTCATCAGAGTGTTCACCATGGAGAATGGCCTATGACTGCAATGAATCTGGGAAATGTTTTTCTTGTATCATTAATCTCCATTAGTATGATAAAGAATTTAGTGTCCAAGTTCTTATAACTTAAGGAAATGTGGGAAATCTTTTATTATCTATCCATTGCCTTTTTTATCATCTCAGAAATCAAACAGGAGAAATGTTTTTATATATATGCAATATGAAAATCTCTTTTTGTAGCACAATCATCCACTGTATTCCCACTTTCACTCTGGTTAAAGGCCTTATGAGAACAGGTAATGTGGGAAAATGATTTTTGATACTTTCTCCTTTTTTATCAGAGAGTTTATGGAGGAAATAAGACTTATGATGACATGAAATGTGTGAAAACTTTGACCTCGTTTCCATAGCCACCTTAATTATGGTTCACACTGGTCAAAGACTTCAAGCATGAAGTGAACATGGGAAATCTTTAGCCATAAGTGTGTACCCATTTGACATTGGAGAGTTCTCACTTTCTAAAAGGTTACATTGTAAGAAGTTTCTTGTATTTATTTCAGTGTAATGACACTGAGGAAAACTTTCTCAAAATGTCTGAGTTTAATTTCACATATTCACAATGTGGAGAGGTCTCAGAAATTTAATGTTTAAATTTTGAGGTAACTAAGAAAATATGATCTAAACTAATCGTGCCTTTATGCGTTCATACCTATAGTACATGAGGGTTGCACTTGCCCATTCTTAACAAAATCTTCATTTGTTGAATGTTTACAAATTTATCTCTTTTCATATATTTGTCATATTCTTTCTGTTCTAGTTGCATTTCTCTAAGGATTTATGATGAGCATTTTTCAGAAGTGTATGTAATGGGGATATGTTTTCAGTATGTTATATGCTTACATACTTTACCTATTTGATAATTTTGAGCTACTCTCCTTTAAAAAATAGGAGAGTGAAACAACCAAGATCTATGTTGTAGCATCACCCATTTTCACTCCTTGAATAACAAACAATTTTTGTTTCATGGAGTAATAGTTTTTATGGAATAATTGTTTTTAATACTGGAGAACATTGCCAAGGTATTTGGATTTTTTATTTTTTTGACTGTACACAATGTAGTAGGTACATATCATATACTTTAAAGAATAATCTGCCTTGTTAACACACTTCATTGCTTTTGTAAATTCAGAAATTTACTAATATAATAATTTTTCCTTTTTACTTTTCAGCCCCATCTGTGCTCTTTCATCTGGGGTTGCTGGGCTGCAGCAGGACTTGAAGGTGCACCTGGTACCATGAGGAGCAATGGGTATTCGTTGAGTTTGGCAGCTCTCGGAAGCCAAAAACAAGAGAACGAGTGATGAGATTTCCCATGTCTTGGCCATGCAACCTGGGTTTAAATTGTAGTTTATTGACCATAATTATGGTTACAGGAAAATGATTCACCTTATAAGCCTCAGTATTTTCCTGTGTAAATAGTGGTAAAAAGCAAACGAGCCTGAGGTGAGTGGCACAGTGGGTTGAATGTTGTCCTGCAACCCAAAAGGTTGTATGTTCAATTCCTGATCAAGGCACATGGCAGTGTTTTGGTCCAGTTCCCAAGTTAGGGGAATGGGAGAGGTAAACAGTTAATGTTTTTTTGCTTTTATATTTCTCTCCCTCCCTTTCTCCCTTCCTTACCCTCTCTAAAATCCAGAGAATAAAATATTTTTAAGAAAGAGCAGTTTTCACCCTAAATGAAAATTTTTCAAGGCTTGCTTTTTCATCATTATTATTATTTTAATCCTAACAGCACCTGGGAATTAGTAACTATTATTGCATTTCTTGGGAAAATAGGATTGAGAAGAGGAAGAAATTTTTCCTAGGTCACAGAGCGGACAATTGTCAAATTGAAGTGGCTGGATTTGAATGTGTGAGTCTGTCTCCAGAGCTGGGGACACTCTCAACCTTAGCACATTAGACCCTTAGCACAAGGCAGGAGGAGAGCAAAGGCCAGGGACATGAGAAACTCAGATAGTTGCTGTTTTCATTGTTTAATTATCATGAATTTTCTACATTTTTGTGATGTTTTAGAGTGCTTAACATCTGCCTCACGGTCTTCATGGGAACCCTATCTGTCCTTTCCCATGGTCTCTCCAGGGGAAATGACGTTGAGCGGTAGCCGCATTTTCTCTACCTCCTTTTTGAGCTTAGCACACAGCTCTACACTAATGAGACCCCAGTGATTCACGGCTGGGTGTTTCTGCACATTCACTTATCTTTTTCATGGCAGGCTAGGGTATGATGCATTCTGGTGAATACTATCCACTGCGTTAGACCCTTCACGTGCTTTTTGTACGTGTCACTGACATCCTCCTTGCAGTATTGAGAACAGCTTTACATGATACCTGGGGTATATTCAGAAGTGATGCTGGAGACCTATAGTATTGTTATCTACTTAGTGTGGTGTTCCTCTTTTTCATTCAGGATACGGTCCTCTTGGTCCTGTACTCTGTGGATATCCTCTCTGTGGCCTGCTGGCCACATGTAGCCCAGGATGGCTGTGAATGTGGCCCAACACAAAATCTTAAATTTCCTTAAAACATTATGGGATTATTTTGTGATTACCTGTTGCAGTGTATGTAATGTGTAGCCCAAGACAACTCTTCTTAATGTGTGACCCAGAGAGTCCAAAAGGTTGGATATCACTGCTGTGTCATGTACTGGCTGGATGAAGTAGAGTCTCACCATGTTTTTCTGTAGCCCAAGCGTGTTTATGAGTCACATTCCCCTTTCCAACCTTCCTGTGTCTGCAACAGAGAAATTTCTGTAGGAACAAGCCCTGAACAGAGATTCTTACTCCTGATTGGTCACAGTGGGCCAGTAGGCCAAATCAGATTGGGTCCATGCCTGCACGGCCCTATTATCATTGTTATGGCTGATGGCTTTTTCAAATACCAGGATGAGTCTGCAGCATCCTTGGTGATATTTGCAATCTGATCTTTTTTCCCCCTAAAGATTTATTTTTAGAGAAGGGAAGAGAGGGAGAGAAACTTCAATGTGTGGTTGCCTCTCACATGCCGTCCACTGGGTACCCGGCCCACAACCCAGGAACATTCCCTGACTGGGAATTGAACCAGGAACCCTTTGGTTCACAGACTGGCACTCAGTCCACTTACTCATACCAGCCAGAGTTGCAATATGATTGTATGATACATTCCTAAACAACACAATCCTTGCAAAGGCACCAGGTGGCAGGCATCGACACTGTCTAAAACTAGATCTCTTTGCCCTTGTTTCCTCCTCACTGCACTCGGTAGAATGCTTTGTATTAGAGCTGAATCTCTGAAGTCTTTCTAAGTGTTACTGATTTTCCATTTTCAGCCTAGAGCAGCCTTCAGAGCCCTTGTATGTTACCTGGGACTTGAGCATTATTTTGATGTCATTGCTTTTTTTTTTAGGTTTTATTTATTTTTAGAGAGAGGGGAAGGGAGTGAGAAAGAAAGAGAGAGAAACATCAATGTGTGATTGCCTCTCATGCACCCCATAGTGGGGATCTGGCCTGCAACCCAGGCATGTGCCCTGGGAATTGAACTGGTGACCCTTTGGTTCACAGGATGGTGTTCAGTCCACTGAGCCACACCAGCCAGAGCGTGATGTCATTGTTTTTTCATGGTAACCTATGACTGGTGGTAAGTCACACTGATTTTCCCAGTTATGGAAGAGATACAAGGACACTTTCTAGGATGCAGTGTACACACGAAAAATTGTGTAGGTCATGTTAAAGAGAATAACACCTGTGGGCAGAGCTATAGTCCCCTAAGCAGACCTCAGGTGCCAGGTCATTTGAAGGCACTATTCAATCTCCTCCTACTGAACTCTAGCTTTAAGTTTATTTGCATGCTTGTTTATATTCCTACTTGTATTTACAATCTTATATTGACATGTTTTTGAAGTGTGTCCTGGAGTCTCACTGAATCCTACAGAAAGTTTGTATTTTTTTTGGCTTTTTATGTAGATTTTATTCATTTTTTTATTAGATTTGTTCCTATATTATTTCCCCTGTAGCCCACTGCATCCAGTACCCCTTCCATCCAAGAATCCGCCCACCTTAGCTCATGTACATGGGTCATGCATATGTTCTTTGCCATCTCCATTTTCTATACTATTCTTAACACTACTCCTGTCTATTTTGTGCCTACCAATTGTGCTTTGAATCCCCTCATCTTTCACCCCATTTTTCCTCTTCCCCCCTCCCATCTGAATGCCCTTCAAATTACCTCCATACCTATGATTCTGTTCCTTTTCTGGTTGCTTGCTTAGTTTTGTTTTGTTTTGATTCAGATTCAGTTGTTGATAGTTCTGAATTTGTCGCCTTTTTAATGTTTTTGATCTTCATAGTTTTGATCTTTCTCTTAAATTTAAGTCCCGTTCACACATGATGTAATAAAGGCTTAGTGATGATGAACTCCTTTAGCTTTACTCTGTCTGGGAAGCCTTTTATCACTCCTTCTATTCTAAATGATAGCTTAGCCGGATAGAGTAATCCAGGTTGTAGGTCCTTCCTTTTCATCACTTTGAATACTTCTTGCCAGTCTCTTCTTGCCTGCAAAGTTTGTTTTGAGAAATCAGCTGATTGTCTTATGGGTACTCCTTTGTAGGTAACTCTGCTTTTCTCCTGCTGCTTTTAAGTGTCTCTCTTTATCTTTAAGTTATGGTGCTTTAATTGTGCTGTGTCTTGGTGTGGTCTTCTGTGGGTCCAACTTGCTTGGGACTCTTATGTGCTTACTGGACTAGCATGTCTATTTCCTTCACCAAAAGAGGAAGGTTTTTTTCATTATTTTCTCAAATAAGTTTTCATTTATTTCTGTGTGTATAAACTATTTATTAACAGAGGTAAAGGCCTACACATTTACTTGCTGGACACACCCAAAGTGCGACCCCAGCGGCCTGTGGTCGTGGTGTGCTGGCCTTAAACACGAAGACCCCAGATGTGGCACAGCCCTCTGGCCACTGGCCAGAACTTTGCTGTATTTTCCGTCCTTCACTTCTTTCTGTCTGTTCAAGATCCAGTCTGGAATCTTGTACTGGCGTAGGTTCTGCATAATGGTAATAACCTGTTCCACCGCATCCTCTGTGAGCACTCCTGTCCTCTTGGTGAGGTCGATGTCTGTTTTCCCCATCACCACGTGAGCATATCTTTGCCCCACACCCTTAATTGCAGTGATGGCAAAGGCTATTTTGCGTCACGCGTCGGTATTGGTGTTGAGTACTTGGGGATTGTGCTGGAACAGCTCAGGAGTCACTAGAGACATGGCTGTAGGTGTGTGTAGGCCCCCTGTGGAAGAGCTCAAATAAGTTTTGGATTTCTTGCTCTTCCTCTTCTCCTTCTGGCATCCCTATTATCCGGATGTTGGCAAGTTTGGAGATGTCTTAGACGCTTCTTACACGGTCGTGTGTTTCTTTTAAATTCTCGTTTCTCCTTTATGTTCTGGTTGGATATTTATTTCTTCCTTGTGTTCCAAATCCTTGATTTGAATCCCGGCTATCCTCCCTGCACTGTTGGTTCCTTGTTGATTTTTATTTATCAACACTTAATGTAGCCATCATTTCTTCCCGTACGTTGTTGCCGTACTCAATGAGTTCTTTAGCATCCTGACTGCCAGTGTATTGAACTCTGCATCCGACAGGTCTGCTCTCCATTTCATTGAGTAGGTCCTTCTGGTGTTTTGTTCTGTTCTTTCGTTCGGGCCGTATTTCTTTTTTCTCCTCGATTGGGCAGCCTTCCTGTGTTTGTTCCTGTGTATTAGGTGGAGCTGCCTTGCATCGCTGTAAAAGGCACCCATGGGGTTGAGTGTGGCTTCTTTAAATCCTTGGTTGTTGGACTTCCATACAGCTCGATTTCCTGACGGTTGATGTTTTCAGATCTAGTTGTCATTCTCTTTGTGGTTGCCCGAGAGGCAAGGCATGTCTACTGGTGCCTCCCGCCTTGAGCAGAAGTCTCATTAGTTCTTTATCGCTTTGAATTGCTTACATCTCCTTGTTGTTGAAAGGGGAATGAATATTTAAGTTGTTTACTATTGTTGTGTTGAACTTCCTGGCTTCAATTTTATATGGTTTGCTTAATATACTTAGGTGTCTGTGGTTGGATGCATAGCAGTTAAAATTGTTATCCCTTTGATGGATTGACTCCGTTTTCATTTTTTCATCACGTTTTTCTCTTGTGACAGTGTTTGAGGTTGTCTGTTTTGCATGTTACAATTTCAGCGTCACCTGCTCTCTTTCCTTTAATCTGTATGGAATATTTTTCTTATCTCTTTATTTTCAACCTACTAGTGCCCATAAACTTTCTTAAAAAGATATTTTATTTATTTTTAGAGAGAGGGGAAAGGAGGGAGAAATAGGGTGAGAAGCATTGATGTGCAAGTGAAGTATGGATTAGTTGCTTCTTTCATATGCCCACCTAGTGCTCTGTCCCAGAACCTGGGCATCTGCTGGGGCTGAGAGTTGGTGCTCAATGCACTGATCCACACCAGCCAGGGAGTGAAATAATTTTATCTGCATGTGAATGGAAGGGCACTTGTTAGTTGATGTGCGTTGAGCTGAGAACAAGTTTCAGCTACCAGTCTTCTTGCTGTCCCATGAGGTGAGGTCAGATTGCTGAAGATCCTAGGGTTCAGTGGGCAGGGCAGCTGTTTTCCAAATATTTATCTGTTCTGGAGTCTTTGGTGGAAAAAATGGCTGGGGATATACTGATGTTATTCCTTCATAAATGATGTTGTGATCAAGCAGATTCCTTTTGATATCTATGCTGACAAACTCTACAGGTTCATTTGAAATGAAATTTTTGGGTAATTGCAGATATTACTGAGAATCCTGAAGTTTACAAAACAGTTGCCATGGTCATTCAGGAAACAGGCAGCTTAGAGTCCATGGTAGCACATGAACAGTGCCTTCAAGTGGAAACTCTCATCCCTGTCTTTTGAATGGTACCGTCTTTGCTAAACTAGTCTCTCCTACAGTTCTTTCTCTGTAGCTTTCTTAAAACTTGTGTTGAGTTGTGCAAAGACAGTGTTGGTTTTTTATCGCTTGTTTTCTCTTAGGAGTTGAGTCATCAGAATTTCATGTTCATACTTAACTGGGAAGGAAGTGGAAGAGATCTTTGTGTCACAACAGGGACATGAGTGCAGTCATGACAGAATGGGCTCCCGGAAGGTCTGTTGTTTGTGAATGGTATTTGGGGAGCACTTGTTACAAGGGCTTTTAAAAACATATGAGAAACATGTTCTGTGTAACTGTTAATTTTGTCTCCATTACCAGTGGCCACACCTAATGATATGGTCCCTTCCCCTTGTTGACATTTTGCAAATCTGTTGCTTTTAATAGGTATAATTTCTAATCTGACATCCAGCCAGGGCTAAACTCTGCCCCTCTAACCTCTACTCCACAACGGTTTCTCTCAGGATACTTTTTGGTGCGCTCTCCAACTTTGGTAAATGCCTGTGTCACCTTGAAGTGTGCACATGTTTCTATGTGAACCTTGCACAGCATCTCCTCTGCTGTGGTTGATTTTCATGGTTTGGAGCACATTCACATTCCTCTACATAGTCTGACATCACCAGCAGGAAGGCTGTTGCAGGCAGACATGAGCAGTAGGACAACTTTTGAACCCTACCTCTTTTCCTTGTGGCCTGCCCTGTCCTAGTGTCCCTTTGTTTAATAAGGTGCCCATTATTTATAGTTGGTGGTTTAGTAATACACAATGACCACTTTTTCAGAGTCTTTCTCAGTGTCTTGAAAATTGTCACATAAAATCGTGCCATGATGTGAGACATGCACATCTGTGATGAGAATACCCCCTGCACTGGCTGGTGTGTCTTAGTGCTTTGAGTGCAAGCTTGCAAAACAAAGAGTCACCAGTTCATTTCCCACTCAGGGCACATACCTGTGATGCAGGCCAGGGCCATCTCTAGAGGCAACCACACCTCTATCTCCCTCCCTTCCCTTCTCTCTGAAAAGAAATAAATAGAATTCTTAAAAAAAATAAAAATAAAATGTTTAAAAAATTAAGATATGTATATTATTATATTTCACTTAGTGTTATCGCAAGTTGAATAGACTACAATGTGCACTTGGGAACAAAGAAATTAGTGTGACTAGCTTTATTAGTATATGCAGTTGGATGGCCTGGAAATTTACATGCAAGTTCTGGGCTGAATTCTGCAATTGCATGTCTTTGATGTCTTCAACATGTACTTCATTGTTTAAAAAAACAAACAAACCTGTAATTTAAATTAGAGGCCTCAGATCAAATCAGTGAGGAATCCTGTCACACAGCTGCCTGGGCAGAGCTGAGACTCCTGGCTACATCAGGCACAGATGTACATAAGTATGAGTGTATTACTTATTACATTTAATTTGCACTGTGGGTCCTACTGATGCAGGAGAGACGGGAGTAGGGACCAGAACAACGTCCCACAACCACACTCGGCCTGAAGGAGGCACCGGCCCCTGAATCCAAGGCCTAGCAGGCGTAACAGACACTTCCTTGTCCAAGAAGTCATGCCCACGGGGCGGCCACAGGGCGGATTCACTATTCTCAGGGTATTTGTCGGGGTGTAAAACTGCAAATCCACTCCTCGAGTCAGCGGGCCTTGGAGTGCACAACCTACCTTACCCAGAAGGGAAGCGCCGAATGTCACAGGGCTGAGGCAATAAAGACCCCAGAACAGGCACTTCCGTTCGGGCCCTACTGCGGGGCGGGACTTCCGTGCGCCTCCTGGCGGGCATTTCCTCCTCTCCGTTCCCTTCTCACAGGGCCAGGGTGCTGTGGTGGCCGAATCGAATGCAGACGGCGCCAGCGTGCTGCGCCCCCCAGGAGGTGTGAGGCCAGGTACCCCTCCCCGGAGTCCGGCGTCAGGGTCGGGACAGGCGCCGCCGTGCCCAGGGACACGCTCCCCGCTGTCAGCTCCGGCCCCGCTCCACCCATACGGGCCGATGGCGGCGGCCCGCGAGAGGCGCCCCGCGGAGGTGAGTGCGCGTCCCCTGACCCTCCCCCTCTCCCCTGAGCCCCGCAGCCCTGGTGCGGGGCGCCCATCGCGTCCTGCAGCGCCGGAGTCAGGGGTCGTAGGTGCTCGGGGATGACACATGGTGTGATGGGGTCAGAGAGGGTGAGCGCCGATGTTCTGCGTTCCGCCTTCTAAACACGTGCGGGTGTCCTTGACCCAGAAAGACCCGCAAACCCCGCTTTGGTCTGACATCAGCTTTAAACAGCCTGAGGCGACGTCACGTACTGAGAGGCAGAGGGGCTGCACCTTCATGTGATAGTACCGGGAGCCCTGGATGGTCGTGAACCGTGAGACAGACAGGCTGTGTCATGGTTTTGAAAACCTTTTAGATGCTGCCGAGATAGAAAACCGACAGGAGTGAGGCACAGGAGGAGGAGCCTTTGTCCAACGTTACAGGGCCGGTGAGCGGCAGCTCTGAGGAGACACCTGGCGGCAGGTGACCAGACTCCAGGGCTGGGCTGAGATACAGCTGAGAGACGTGCTTACCAGGAGCTGAACTGAAGGTGGTTGATTGCATGTTCCCACAGATTCTGAAGTTGAAGAACATTATCAAACTAGACAAGAAAGTACAGAGCGTCCCAGTCCCTACCTGGTGGTGACATTGCCTTCTAGTGTCTAAAGACTTCCCTTGGTATTTCCCACCTTTCCAATGAGGAGACCCTGGAGATACCTCAATCCTGAGTGCAGGCCACGGGTAATGTCAAGGTGCTGCCATTTATTGTGTCAACGTAAGAAACATTCAAATTGTAGAGACTTCTTAAAATGTTTATTTGAGCCAACCTAGGGACGATATATGGAAAAAACAATCTCAGCGGAGTGTGAATATGCTTCGGAAAATGGCAGTTTTACTACTTATTTTATACATCAGAATCAAAAAGGAAGATACATAATTTGGGAACTTGAAATCTATTGGTGATGGGTTAGATGGGAGAAGACAAAGCAGGAAAATCCCTGATATTAAATAAAAGGTGAAAATGAATGGGCATGCAATTCTTTTTCATTAATGGGTATAATATAATATTTAATGAATTAACACAATAATAACACTGAGGTGTATTTTGGTCTCTGATGCAGTGTTTGTGCCCTAGGGGGTAAGAAACAGGCAAATTATCCTGACTTTCCACAGGTATATTAACAAAGATGCGCTCGGTGAAGGTAAAACTTGACTTTCCTCAGGGAAGATAGAGACCTATGACATGACTACTTGCCATGACTTGCTTTTAGTTAGAAATTTTTAATTTCGGATCATATGGAGGAGTATTCAGTCTCTCAGTTTGTAAGGCCATCTCTGAGGACTCCCCTAAGATGGTCAGGTTTAGTATGTGCCCTTTGTCCTTTTTCTTTCTTTTTCATTTGTCCACAAAGCCAGCCAGTGTCAACATTTAAGGTAGGTTATTGAGGAAGGGACATTTGCACCTGAAAATCCTTGGAGATGCCAAAGAGCTGGGCATAGGTACCTCAGGTCTCCTTTGTGTTAATAACAAGGCACAAGGGGGTCAAGAATCAGACTTGTAAAGTGGCAAAATGGTAACTTGGATATGTATTAGGGAGATAATTGGGCATTTGCATAAGAGAAAGGAGTTGGTCTCTCCTGGGTATAACAGGCTCCCTGTGGCTGCATAGAGCAACACAGATTCTGGGGATTAATGGAGGTGAAGAGAGCCCTGGACCAGGTGAGTTCTGTGACCAGAGGAGAGCTGATGGACAGGAGTTGGGCCTCAGAGGAAGGAGAAAAGGTTGAATTCTTGGTCCATCTTTTTTTTTTTTTTAATTGTATTTTTTCCCATTACCAATTATCTCCTTCATAGCTTCTTCAGCCTCCATTTACCTGCCTCCCCTTTACATTTTTGAAGAAGAGTAAGTATAGTTTCAGATTTCACAGTTGCAGGAAGAAAGGAAAGGGTTCAAAACACCCCAGTATTTTTGGTCTTAGCAGCTCAAGCAGTGTAGACTCTTATCAACTGGGCTGGGGAAGATAGTAGTAGGTTAATTCTCTTCAAGGATAGCAGAAGTTTCTTTTATTTCACATTTTCATAAGTTACAAAGAGCAGTGACTGTAAACATCTTGTGAACAGCTGACACATGGATCTGGAAATCTGTGGAAGAGTTGAGAATGGAGTCATTCAAATGCAGTAGTTCTTTTGTTCCTGAGGGTGAAGGGGCCAGAGCTAAGGAAATCACCCCTGGGAAGCAGGTAGAGATCAGACCGTGGTGTGCACAGCTAGAGGAAGTGTGAGCTGATGGCCCAGAGTTCTTGGTGTTTGGATTTACCAGAAAGCTAAGCCCATATATGAATATGTTTTGGAGGCATGCTCTGGGAGACTCCGTGGAACGGCTTAGCAGGAAGAATGGGGCCCTGCGGGCACGGCCCTGAGTTCAGATGGCATTTCTTTGCCCCACTTCCTCTTACCTTGCCTGCCTGTGCTGAGGGGAGTGTGAGAGATTAATGTGACCGTGATGAGACAGCAGGCAGATCTGGCATCAGGCACTGGTGTCTTCTGTGAATGGGGGCCCTGGAAGGCGTTGGGGGTGGGGAAGGGTAGGATATGGGGTCTCAGACAGACTGTTCCAGATTCATTTATGTTAATTCTGACAGGTTGTTACCTTTGAGGATGTCGCCGTGTATCTGTCCAGGACAGAATGGCTCCTCTTGGATGAGGCTCAGAGACGCCTGTACCTCGATGTGATGCTAGAGAACTATGCTCTTATATCATCCCTAGGTAAGACACTGACTCTCCCTCCACACTCCTCTTTTGCTTCTCTGTGACCCCCTTTCCTCAGGGTTGCAGTTTGCCTCTTCTATCCTAAGCTCTAATGGACCTGACAGTACTTGCAGCCAGGGAGCGATGGATAGCAGCAGCCGGTCTCAGGCTTAGCCCTAATCATGTCTGAAACTGTGTGTTTGGTTGTTTTGTTTTGTTTTATTTCGTTTTTGTTCATTGACCCAAATTTTTATAAACTGACTCACAGTTTCAAAAATGAAGACCCTCTGCATCACCAGTGACCTGGACTAGGCTTTGCATTTCCCCCATACCCTTCATTCCTCAGGGATTGCTCTGTCCTCCCATTTGGGCTGTGGGCACTATTTGCTTCCCTGGTTTTTGGGTAGATCCTGGACTTGGCAGGGCTGGTTTGCTTGCACTGCCCCCTTCTCTCCCTGCGCCCTTTGATACCTGTTGTGCAAAATCCTCATATGGAAGGGTTTGACATCAGTAGTGTTGCCAGAAGCCTAATAGATTTCACATTGAGTAGTGAGAAAAAGCATTTTTTAATATTCTCAAACATTTCTACAACTATATGTATTATCATCACTACAAAATATTTTTATTGATTGTTAGAGAAAGGAGGGAGGGACAAGGAGAACTATCAATGTGAGAAAGAAGCATTGATTGTTTTCCTCTCATATGTGCCTGTAAGAGGGAATCCAGCCAGCAACCTATGTGTGTGCCCTGACATGGAATCAAACTGGCAAATTTCTGGTGCACTGGCCAGTGCTCTAAAAGAGCCACTTGTCCAGGGCTGGATCAAATACTATGCAATATATTTATTTGTTCTGTTTTCTCAGCAGTGTTTTCAAACTTTAATAATTTATTGCTTTCTAAATAGATGATCTACTCATTGTTGGACAGGGAAAATTCAAGTTGTCTGGTAGTGTTGCGTTAACTTTTCTGCTTTCAGATCTCATACGGTTTGCTTATGTACTTCGGCGCTCTGTGGTTGGGTACATAGTATTTAAAATTGTTATCTCCTGGTTTCCTTGGTGTTATTTGCATGGAATATTGTTTATATCCCTTTATTTTCAGTGTATTTGTGTCCATAAAGATTCAGTGAGTCTTGGAAGCAGCATATGTTGAGTCTTGGGGATTTTTTTTGGAACACATGGTAAGCCCAACCAGGCCTCGATTTATTTATGTATTCATTTATTTATTTCTATACATTTAAAAAATTTTTAAATACAGTTGACATACATTATTGTATTAGTTTCATAATTAGACATTGTATAACTTACCAAGTAATCATCTCCATACATCTCACACCCATCTGATACCACATATATTAGTAGAGTGTTATGAGTCTGTTTCTTAGGCTGTAGTTTACATCCCTGAGATTATTGTGTAAGTGCCCCTTTGTACTTTTTAACCCCTTGACCTTTTTCACCCATCATGAGAATTTTTGTAAGTGTTTATTCTAGTGAAACTGATGATGATGGCCAGGGTTGCAAGACCTCAAATGCTTTTGTCTTGTGTTTCTTATCCCTTTACCCATTCTATATTTTGAACCTACTGTTACCGTCTTGTCATGTTTTCTGTCTCTTTTGTAGTTCCTTTTTTGTCTTCCTATTTTGTTGTCGTGTGTGTGTGTGTGTGTGTGTGTGTGTGTGGTTTGATTCCTTTCTCTTTTGTGCATCCATTACACAGGATTGTGCTGTTGGGTTGGTTGGTTGGTTTTTTTTGTTTTGTTTTTGTTTTGTTTTTTTATTTTACTTATTTATTTTTTGAGTGAGGGGAAGTGAAGGAGAATGAGAGGGAAAGAAAGATCTATGTGTGAGAGAAACATCAGTTACCCCTCACAAGCCTACAACTAAGGACCCAGCCTGAGACTTAGACATGTGCCCTGACTGGGAATCAAACCGGCAGCCTTTTGGATTGCGGGCCAGGGCTCAGTCCACTGAGCCACATGAGCCACTGCTGTATTTTATAGACTTACATAAAACTCATACTCAGAACAGTTCATTGTAACCTGAAAACAGCTTCAGTGCATGCAAAAATTCTACTCTTTGAATCTCTGCCACACCACCCCTTTACATGTTGATGTCACTGTTCACATCTTTCTATACTGTGTATCTATTCATAAATATTGTCACCAGCGTTGAACTTAATACACTTTATTTTTGTCCTATACAGGACAGTTAAAAAAAGTACATCCACCAATGAACTGTCTTAGTGTTGCGAACCTGATGACATCCTGGCCTTACCAGAGAGTTTTACACTTTTCCACGATTTCCTGTTTCTTTGTAGCGTGCCTTTATTTCAGGCCAAAGAGTTTTTTTTGTTCTTGTTTTGTTTGGTGTTTTTGTTTTTGCATTTCTAGTAAGTCACGATGAGTGGAAATTAACTACTTTCATGTGTTGTGTTTTTGGGAAGTGTTTTTCTTGTTATTTCTGAGGAGGAGGTTTTTGGGAAAAGTATTTTGTTTTGCAGTGTTTTGTTTTAGTGTTTTGAATATATCATTTGATCTTCTGCAAGGAAGTAAGGTTTCTTCAGAGAACTCTATTTTTGGCTTTATGGGAGTGTTTTCCTTACAATGAGGATTTTCTATTGTCTTTTTCTTTCAAACACTTTTTTTGCTTTTTATTTTTAACACTTTTTTTATGCTAAAACCCTGTTTACATTGCGCATGTATATGGACCTGGGAGGATCTTGAATATGGCTATTCACATTTGTTTGTCATATTTTAAACTCAATCTTTAGCTCATTTTTGAAAATAAATTTTTTTCACTTCTCCTTCCCTTCCCGTTTATGTAGCTCTCATTTTCTCTCTTTTTCCCCTCCTCTGGAACTCCCACAATGCAAATATAGGTTATCTCTTTGGTGTTCCAAAATTTACATAGGCTGTCCTCCTACTTTCTTTCTTACATGGAGGATTTTAAATCACCTGATTCTGAGGTGAAGTGTTCATTTTACTCCTTGGTAAATTTATTCAGTGGTAGCACAAGCTCAGTGTCTGAGAAGTTGTTACACCTGTGTTTTGAATATAACCCTGTTTGCTGAGCCAGTCTTTCCTGCTATTCTTTTGTGTAGCTCTTTATATCATGCTCCGCCTTGTAGCTCTTTGAAAGAACTGGTCCCTAAAGACTCTTCCTCTTTCTTGAAGGGATGCTGTTTATCATGGATTATTGTCTCATTATACTTGAAAGGGGTTGAACACTTGTATTTTTTATTCTGTCATCTTGCTGTGGTCACTCACGGAGATATTTTTCTTTCTTTCTTTTTTCTTTTTTTTTTTTTTTGGTGCAGAGTAGTTCTACAATAGTGTTAGTATTTCATCTTTTCTGCATTCTCTGTGGAGTTGCATCATCAGCATTCCACATAATTGCTCAAAAGAGAGGGAGCTGGAAGAGTCCTTTGTATATCACAAGAAGGACAGGCATCCAGCCCTGACATGATGAGCTCACAGGTGGCCTACTATTGGTGAATGGCAGTTAGGGAGGATTTGATTCCAAGTTATGGTTAAAACATAATGATGCACCTGTTCATTTAACTATATTTTGTCACCAGTGCCAGTGGTCACACTTTAATGCACTTGTCATTTACCAGTGTTGGCACATTGCTAGTGTGTTACTTTTAATAATTTTCCTTTGCACTCTTGATTTGAAGCCATGAGTAATCTGCCTCTCAAACCTCGACACCACAACCCTTTCTCTGAGGAGGTTTTTTGGTGTTCTCTCCCATTTTGAAAAATGCCTGTTGGATCTGAAAGTGTGCACATATTTCTATAGAAACCTAGCACAGCATCTGGTCTGCTGTGGTTGATTTTCATGGTTTCGGGCACATTCATATCCTCTTTTCATAATTACAACACAAGCAGGAAGGGTTTGCAGACAGCCCCTAAGAGAAGAATAACTCATAAAGCCAGCCTCTCATCCGTGTGTCCATCGTGTCCTAGTGTCCTTTGATTTATGAGTTCCCCATTATAACAGTCATGAGGGGCTATTTTTTAGTCTCTCATTCGTCTTGGAAATCATCACATAGAATCATGCCAGATATTACAGATGAAAATTAATAATGAGAAAACCCGCTCCCTCTAGGTTACTAGGTATTTCACTTGTGTTTGTTTTTCTTCAGGTTGCTGCTGTGGAGCAGAGGATATGGTGCCACCCACTGAACAGAATATCACTGTAAGAGTCTCAGAGGCTATGAATCTGAACTCAGCACTGTCTTCCCAGAAGAGCCACCCCTGTGAGAGTTGTGGATGTGTCTTGAGAGACATTTTTCTCTTGGATGACCAGCAGGGAATGCAACGGGGCCCAACTCTGCTGCAGTGTGGGGCATGTGCAAAACCATTTTATTTCAGTGCACAGAGTCACCAACACCAGGAGCAGGGCACAATGCAGAATAGTTTCGTAAGCAATGTGGACAGGGTCTCATTCGCAGAGAGCTGCAATTTCCATGTGTCGTGGAATCCTTGTACCTCTAGTCAGGTTGGAAAATGCTTCCTCATTAACTCTGGAGATCTTGAGCAACTAAATGCTTACACCATGCACAAGGAAAATGAAATCTCTAAGTCTGGAATGACTTTTCAATCTGCACAATATTACACCTCAAGTGAATGCAAGAAAGCCATTGGCTGTGATGACATACTTGTTGAGGACCAGAGATTCCTTATTGGAAGACAGTGTTTTTTGTGTTGTGAATGTGGGAAGTCTTTTACCAGAATTTCTGCATTCCGTGTTCATCAGAGGGTTCACACAGGAGAAAGACCTTATGAGTGCAGTGAATGTGGGAAGTCTTATAGCAGAATTTCTGCCCTCCGTGTTCATCAGAGAGTTCACACTGGAGAAAGGCCTTATAAGTGCAGTGAATGTGGGAAATCTTTCACAAGTAGCCCTGCCGTCCAAGTTCATCAGAGAGTTCATACTGGAGAAAGGCCTTATAAATGTGGTGAATGTGGGAAATCTTACACCAGTCACTCTGGTCTCCGTCATCATCAGAAAGTTCACACTGGAGAAAGGCCTTATGAGTGTGCTGAATGTGGGAAATCATTTAAGCAAAAAGAGAACTTTAATTCTCATCAGAGAGTTCACACTGGGGAAAGGCCGTATAAGTGTGGTGAATGTGGAAGATCTTTCACCAGTAGCTGTGGCCTCCGATATCATCAAAAAGTTCACACTGGAAAAAGGCCTTATGAGTGTGGTGAATGTGGGAAATCTTTTACGCAGAGCTGTACCCTCCGTCGTCATCAGAATGTTCACACTGGAGAAAGGCCTTATAAGTGCAGAGAATGTAGTAAATCTTTTATCCGTAGCTGTGACCTTCGTAAACATCACAGAGTTCACACTGGAGAAAGGCCTTATGAGTGCAGGGAATGCAGAAAATCTTTTATCTGTAGCTCCTACCTCCGTCATCATCACAGAGTTCATATAGAAGAAAGGCCTTACAGATGCAGTGTATGTGGAAAATCTTTTACCCAAAACTCTGAGCTTCGTAAACATCACAGAATTCACACTGGAGAAAGGCCTTATGAGTGTAGTGAATGCAAAAAATCTTTTACCCATAGCTCTTCCCTCCGTCATCATCTCAGAGTTCACACTGGAGTAAGACCTTATAAATGTGGTGAATGTGGTAAATCTTACACCAGTTGCTCTGGTCTCCGTCATCATCAGAAAGTTCACAATGGAGAAAGGCCTTATGAGTGCAGTGAATGTGGGAAATCTTTTACCCATAAGTTTATTCTCCGTAGTCATCAGAAAGTTCACACCTAAGAAAGCCCTTATGATTGTGGTGAATGCAGAAAATCTTTTACCAGTAGCTCTGAACTTAGTATACATCACAGAGTTCACACTGGAGAAAGGCCTTATGAGTGCAGTGAACATGAGAAATCTTGTACCTGTAGCTCTGCCCTCTGTTTTCATCAAAGTGTTCACACTGTATGAAATAGTTACAAGTACACTAAAAGGGGAATTCCTTTATGTGTACCAGTAAAGTCAGAGAAGCAGTAACCTCCATTACCATGACAGAGTTCACACCAAAGAAACACTTATGAGGGTGATGATTGTGGGGAAATCTTTTATCTGTTGCATTAAGTATTATTATTATCAGAGACTACACACAGGAGCGAAGTGTTATGGCTGCAGGGAATGTGGGAAATGTTGTTTTATCAGTAACTTATGTTTCCTTTGGAGACTTCACATTGGAGAAAGACCTTACGAATACAGTGAAAGTGGGAAGTCATTTTTTCTGTAGCAGTCCCCTTTGTTGTCATCAGAGAGTTCACCCTGGAGAATGGGCTATGACTGCAGTGAATGTAGAAATGTTTTTCTTGTATCGTTGATTTCCACTAGTATAAGTTTATACTGTCAAAATGCAGTTTGAGTGATATGAATATGAGAAATGTTTTAACTCTAGCCATTCCCTTCATTGCCATTAGAGAATTCACAAAGTCTACATACAATATGAGATTTTTCTTTTTTCGGTAGCACAAATCCTCTATTTTATTCTGTTTCACTCTGGTGAATGGCCTTATGAGTTCAGGGAATGTGGGAAAATGTTTTTTGATTCTCCTTTCTTATCAGAGAGTTTACAGAGGAAATAGGCCTTATGATGACATGAATTATGGGGAACCTTTCTCCTTGTTTCCATAGCCTCCTTAATCATAGTTCACACTGGTTGAAGGTGTCAAGCATGAAGTGAACAAGGGAAATCTTTAGCCATATGTCTGTACCAATTTGACATTGGAGAATTCTCACTTTCTAAAAGGTTACATTGTAAGTGTCTTGTATTTATTTCAGTGTAATGACACTGAGGAAAACTTTCTCAAAATGTCTGAGTTTAATTTCACATATTCACAGTGTGGAGATGTCTCAGAAATTTAATGTTTAAATTTTGAAGTAACTAAGAAAATACGATCTAAACTAATCGTGCCTTTATGCGTTCATACCTATAATGTATGAGGGTTGCATTTGCCCATTCCTAACAAAATCTTGATTTGTTTAATGTTTATAATTTTATCTCTTCATATATTTGTCATGCTCTTTCTGTTAATCTAGTTGCATTTCTCTAAGGATTTATGATAAGCATTTTTTAAGAGTGTATGTAATAGGGATAGGTTTTCAGTATATTATGTGCTCACATACTTTACTTATTTGATAATTTTGAGCTACTCTCCTTTAAAAAATAGGAGAGTGAAACAACCAAGATCTATGTTGTAGCATCACCCATTTTCACTCCTTGAATAACAAACAATTTTTGTTTCATGGAGTAATAGTTTTTATGGAATAATTGTTTTTAACAGTGGAGAACATATCCAAAGTATTTGGATATATTGTTATTTTGACTGTACACAATGTAGTAGGTACATATCATATACTTTAAAGAATAATCTGCCTTATTAACACAATTCATCACTTTTATAATATCACAATTTTTGCTTTTTAGTTTTGAGCCACTCCAAATTATCTCCATACCTATGATTTTATTCTGTTTCTTGTTGTTTGCTTAGTTTTGTTATGTTTTGATTCAGATTCAATTATTGATAGTCCTGAATTTGTCACCTTTTTAATGTTCATAGTTTTGATCTTCTTTTTCTTAAATTTAAGTCCCTTTGACACATGATGTAATAAAGGCTTAGTGATGATGAACTCCTTTAGCTTTACTCTGTCTGGGAAGCCTTTTATCACTCCTTCTATTCTACACGATAGCTTTGCTGGATAGAGTAATCCAGGTTGTAGGTCCTTCCTTTTCATCACTTTGAATACTTCTTGCCAGTCTCTTCTTGCCTGCAAAGTTTGTTTTGAGAAATCAGCTGATTGTCTTATGGGTACTCCTTTGTAGGTAACTCTGCTTTTCTCCTGCTGCTTTTAAGTGTCTCTCTTTATCTTTAAGTTATGGTGCTTTAATTATGCTGTGTCTTGGTGTGGTCTTCTGTGGGTCCAACTTGCTTGGGACTCTTATGTGCTTACTGGACTAGCATGTCTATTTCCTTCACCAAAAGAGGAAGGTTTTTTTCATTATTTTCTCAAATAAGTTTTCATTTATTTGTGTGTGTATAAACTATTTATTAATACTACACATTTACTTGCTGGACACACCCAAAGTGCGACCCCAGCGGCCTGTGGTCGTGGTGTGCTGGCCTTAAACACGAAGACCCCAGATGTGGCACAGCCCTCTGGCCACTGGCCAGAACTTTGCTGTATTTTCCGTCCTTCACTTCTTTCTGTCTGTTCAAGATCCAGTCTGGAATCTTGTACTGGCGTAGGTTCTGCATAATGGTAATAACCTGTTCCACCGCATCCTCTGTGAGCACTCCTGTCCTCTTGGTGAGGTCGATGTCTGTTTTCCCCATCACCACGTGAGCATATCTTTGCCCCACACCCTTAATTGCAGTGATGGCAAAGGCTATTTTGCGTCACGCGTCGGTATTGGTGTTGAGTACTTGGGGATTGTGCTGGAACAGCTCAGGAGTCACTAGAGACATGGCTGTAGGTGTGTGTAGGCCCCCTGTGGAAGAGCTCAAATAAGTTTTGGATTTCTTGCTCTTCCTCTTCTCCTTCTGGCATCCCTATTATCCGGATGTTGGCAAGTTTGGAGATGTCTTAGACGCTTCTTACACGGTCGTGTGTTTCTTTTAAATTCTCGTTTCTCCTTTATGTTCTGGTTGGATATTTATTTCTTCCTTGTGTTCCAAATCCTTGATTTGAATCCCGGCTATCCTCCCTGCACTGTTGGTTCCTTGTTGATTTTTATTTATCAACACTTAATGTAGCCATCATTTCTTCCCGTACGTTGTTGCCGTACTCAATGAGTTCTTTAGCATCCTGACTGCCAGTGTATTGAACTCTGCATCCGACAGGTCTGCTCTCCATTTCATTGAGTAGGTCCTTCTGGTGTTTTGTTCTGTTCTTTCGTTCGGGCCGTATTTCTTTTTTCTCCTCGATTGGGCAGCCTTCCTGTGTTTGTTCCTGTGTATTAGGTGGAGCTGCCTTGCATCGCTGTAAAAGGCACCCATGGGGTTGAGTGTGGCTTCTTTAAATCCTTGGTTGTTGGACTTCCATACAGCTCGATTTCCTGACGGTTGATGTTTTCATTTGTTTTCAGATCTAGTTGTCATTCTCTTTGTGGTTGCCCGAGAGGCAAGGCATGTCTACTGGTGCCTCCCGCCTTGAGCAGAAGTCTCATTAGTTCTTTATCGCTTTGAATTGCTTACATCTCCTTGTAGTTGAAAGGGGAATGAATATTTAAGTTGTTTACTATTGTTGTGTTGAACTTCCTGGCTTCAATTTTATATGGTTTGCTTAATATACTTAGGTGTCTGTGGTTGGATGCATAGCAGTTAAAATTGTTATCCCTTTGATGGATTGACTCCGTTTTCATTTTTTCATCACGTTTTTCTCTTGTGACAGTGTTTGAGGTTGTCTGTTTTGCATGTTACAATTTCAGCGTCACCTGCTCTCTTTCCTTTAATCTGTATGGAATATTTTTCATATCTCTTTATTTTCAACCTACTAGTGCCCATAAACTTTCTTAAAAAGATATTTTATTTATTTTTAGAGAGAGGGGAAAGGAGGGAGAAATAGGGTGAGAAGCATTGATGTGCAAGTGAAGTATGGATTAGTTGCTTCTTTCATACGCCTACATAGTGCTCTGTCCCAGAACCTGGGCATCTGCTGGGGCTGAGAGTTGGTGCTCAATGCACTGATCCATACCACCCAGGGCGAAAAATAATTTTATCTGCATTCGGGCAGAAAGGTGCTTGTTATGTGATTAGTTTTAAGCTGAGAACAAGTTTCAGCTACCAGTCTTCTTGCTGTCCCATGAGCTGAGTCCAGAGTTCTGAAGAATGTAAGGTCTTTACTTGGCAGGACAGTGGATGTCCAAATATTCAGTGTACTTTTTGGTGTCTGATGGCAAATATTCCTGGAGATATGCTGATGTATGGCCCAGGGCATTCCCCTTCATATCTATGCTGACAAAGTATAGGTTCATTTGAGATGAAATCTGTGAGTAGTTCCAGATATTACCAAGAAATTTGAAGTTCTCAGAGGCAAGTTTGCCGTGGTCATTCACAAAACAGGCCATGAGAGTCCAGGGTGGCACATGTTCATGTGTGATTGCTTCTCACACGCCCCCACTGGGGACCTGGCCCACAACCCAGCCATGTGCCCTAACTGGGAATCGATCGGTGACTCTACTTCATACTCTGGCGCTCAATCCACTGAGCCACAACAGCCAGGGCCCTTTGTTTAATGAGGTACTCATTATTTACTGTTAGGGGTCTAATAATGCCCAACCACCACATTTTCAGTATCTATCTCAGTTTCACGTAACTTGTCACAGAGAATCATGCAGTGATATGACAGATGCGCATCTGTGATGAGAAAACCCCCCTGTCCTGGCTTGTGCAGCTCAGTGGATGGAGCAGAGACGTGTGAACCTAAAGATTGGTTCACTTTCCTATACAGGGACATGCCTGGGTTACAGGCTGACTCTCCAGTTGGAAGAGGGTCAGAGGCATCTGATGGATGTTTCTCTTTCACACTGATGTTTTTCTCATGGCCTTCCCTTCTCTGTAGAAATAAATAAATAAAATCATTTTTTCAAAAGGCACTCTGAGGTCACTGTATTTCACCAGCATTTGTTTGTGTTCAGGTTGCTGCTGTGGAGCAGAGGATGTGGTGGGACCCATTGAAGAGGGTGTTTCTGTAAAAGTCTCACAGGCGGACACTCCCAGCTCAGCTTTGTCTTCCCAAAGGGCCACCCTTGTGAGACTTGTGGACTGACATCAAGCAACATTTTCTTGTTCTTTGAGCAGCAGGGAACAAAACAGAGGCCGACCCTGCTGAGCTGTGGGGCACTTTCAAAAGCATTTTATCTTAGAGCACATTGTCACCAGGACCAGACAGGGGGACACAAGAGAGAATGGTTTCACAAGCAGTGTACTCAGGGTCTCACTTCAAAGAGCTGCACTGTGCTTGTGTCCCGGAGTCCTTGTACCTCTAGTCAGGTAGAAGAAGGCTTCCTCTTCAGCTCAGGACATCTCGAGCAACTGGGCGCGCATACCACGCAAAGAACAAAGGCAGTCTGTAAGTTAGAATGACTTTTCAAAGTAGTAGTACACCCCAACGGGATGCAAGAAAGCCATTGGCTGTGACCAGCCACAAGTTGAGGACTATTTTGTGTATGGTGCTTATTGGAAATCTTTAACCAGGGTCCTTCCCTTCTTGATCACCTGAAAGCTGACATGGGGGAAAGGCCTTATGAGTTCAGTGATTGTGGGAAATACTTTATGCAAAGATCTGCCCTTCTTCAACACTGTTGAGTTCTTTCTGCCGAAAAGACATATGAGTGCGGTAAATGTGGGAAAACTTACATGAGTAGCTTTGCGTTTTTCATTTTTGAATTGTTCAGAATGGATGTAGGCTTTTCCAGTGCAGTGAAATTGGGAAATTTTTCACAGTGATACCTACCCTGTGTTG